GCCCAGGTTGGGATGAGAGCGAAGTTTCTGGTTACGCGACTCTTTCCATCTCTTTTCGTACCTTCTTGGATTAGTGGGGAAAGGAGTGCGGAGCCATACAGCTGTCGCCCACTCCCAACTCCCCAGTTCGTTGGCCCTCCAGCCCCTCAGATCCCAAGGGATTTCAGACGTCTCCAGAAAGGGGGAGGGAACCCGCCACAAAGCGGCCGTGGGACCGTGGGCGGGTTGGCAGCCAGGACCCCCAGCTCCTCCCACTCCCCAGTGTGCAAAGAAGCCCCGGTCCCGCCCCCAGGATCCTGCCCTGGCCGCTGGGTCCCCGCCGCTCACCTCCGCGCCCGGCGCCTCTGAAGCCAACTCCGAGTCCCCGCGCCTCCCGGTCTCCCGCTGCGGGCGCCGACACTCCTTGCACCCTAGCCCCTAGCCCAACCTCCACGACTGGGAAAAACCAAGCCGGGGGGCGGGGGAGGGCCGGGGCTGCTGGACAGATTGCGATCGCGCAGCCCACCTCGGTGGCCCGATGGGGGCTTTAAAGAGGGAGACCAGGGGGATCGGGGCTGCGCGCCTTCTCCTGGCGGAGATAAACGAGCCACGCGTCCGGGAACCGTGAGGGGTTCCCCTTCTGATCCCCCTCCCTGGCATCCTTTGGTGGCTCCGTATTTTGCACAGCGTATTTACCTTGGACAGAAACAAAACGGCTGGAGGATGTCTTGGAATTCACGCTGCTTCGGGCATCGCTGGCAGTGCTGAGATGGATTTCAGCGTGACCCACATCAACGCAAAGCAGCAGTAGAAAGGAACGAGCTGCACACGTTACATCCGCCGCGGCAAACGCCCGGGTTGTGAGGGAGATTCAGAAAGTGTCCTCTCGCGTGGCTCGGTTAGGCTGGCAACTTCAGATTCAGGAGTAGTTAGTTAATGCCTTCCTACCTGTGCCACCCCCGCACGCCTTGGGTAGTTATGAAACTTGTGAAGAGAGTCAACTTTAAGGTGGGGGAGGGTTAGTAGCAAGGACAGTCATTCTTGATTCATTTTGAGGTTTTTTTTTTTTTCTCTCCTCTCAAAATTAAAACCAGAGGGAAGAAAACGGCAGCTAAAACACCCCAGAAATAAAGGCAAATAGCAAAGACGTGAGTCACCCGGAAAGCTCCCTCCACCAGATTCGGTGCGTTGTGTCAGCACAAGTCACTTACGCAGGGAGCGCTCGCGGCGGGAGGTGGGCGGGCTGACCTAGGAAAGAAGTTTGTCCCAAAGTCTGTCTCCCAGGGGGCGCTGGCAGGCGCCGGGTGATGGATTAGGGAAAGGACTGGAATGCTTAGAAGACTAATGTCATTAAATCGGGGAGATCCGGAGTTCTGAAAGCCCTGACGTTGCTCTCTCAAAAACTCTGTATCTTCTTTTCCCCAGTCAAATAATTTTCCCCCGATGTAAAAGGTGTGGGTTATTCCAGTCTTGTTCATTTTACAGAGAAAATGACAGAAGAAACATGGCTGGGAAAACGAAGACCAGTAAAAACAAAAGGGATCACATTAACTATGTTAGGGATTGTTTCCACAGCATGCACCATTGCTGTGGTGGTCCAGTTCTGAATCTGTGGCTGATTCCTTCTGTGGAAAGAGAGTTTACACAAACACCAGCCAAAATGGCCCGGGGGGTGGGGGGGAGCTGCAGAACCTGGAGACTGCAGACATTTGTGCAAAAAGACAGTTTCATTAATTTGCATCTTCAGCACATTTATCTAAATCCTTTTCTCTTATGTTTAAGTGTTTCTGCAATATAAATGTGAAAAGCGTTGCGGGGGGGGGGGGGGAAACAGATTCAGAAGCTGAAGTCCTATTCTATATGGCAATCATGGAGATGGTTACATAAATGCATACATGTGCTAAAACTCAGAAGACTGTCCACCGAAAAAGGCAATTTTACTGCCTAGTTTTTGTAATAAAGTAAATGGCATGGGAAGGGTTTTTCTGGTCCTCTGGCATGGTCTTAAATCTGATTCTGTCAAAAGAGCAAGTGAATCCCTGCTCTGGCTCTTTAGAATTTAGAAAAACAACACAAACTCTCATCGGATCCTCAAAAGACCTCTAAGGCAAGATACAGTAGCGTTAGGACTATTGTCCTGTCCAGTGTCCTCTCTGTTCAGTTTTCCAAGTTTAAAAAGCAAATATCAAAAACTATGGCTTTGAGCGGATCTGACCCCAGCATCGATTGTCTTCTACTTGCCTAGTCATGCCACTTGATAACAATTGCCCCCATTTACTCTGCACCTCACTACCAAGATAAATCTCCTCACTCCGGTTTTACGGATGAGAAAGCTGGCATGAAAGTAAAGTATAGGACATTGTCAAATGGAAGATGGAAATGTAACCAGGCTCAGATCTCATGTCTTCACATTCCACTTCTAGGCTAGATTGAGATATGCAAAGTCCCAGTCTTTTAGAATGCATTCAACCTGCAGGCAAGGGCACACACACACACACACACACACACACACACACACTTACAAACTTATGTAGCTCTAATTCTAATTGCTTTTAATAATAAAAACCCAAATCATATATGGGGGTAAATGCTGAAAGATCAGAGATGCAAAGCAGCCAGCCACCAGTTCTTACCTCTACTGAATCCTCAGACCAAAGGGGCTATCATGTCTCTAGCAATCCTCAGACTGAATGCTTTGAGCTCTGTCTCCTGCCTTATATTCCTCTCTCCATGATATCACTCCGGTCTCTATCTCCCCTAGTGCTGGGATTAAAGATGTGTGATTCCCCAGTGCTGGGATCAAAGCATGATCCACCACTGACTGGCTCTGTTTCTCTTTTAGACTGGATCAAGTCTATGTAGCCCAGGGTGGCCTTGAACTCACAGAGATCTGCCTGCCTTTGTCTCCCCAGTGCTGTGATTAAAAGTGTCTGCCACAAGCCTGCCTCGGGAGGCAGAGGCAGGGGGATCTCTGTGAGTTCGAGACCAGCCTGGTCTACAAGAGCTAGTTCCAGGACAGCCTCCAAAGCCACGGAGAAAAAAAAAAAAAAAGTGTGTGCCACCACTTTCTGGCCTCTCTGGCTAACTAGTGGCTAGCTCCACACTCTGATCTTCAGGCAAGCTTTATTTGTTAAATCATAAACAAAATATTACCTCAAACTTACTCAAAACATTTTTGTTTTGTAATCCAGTTACATGGTTTTCCCAAGTGAACATAGATGACTGTGGTATCATGCAGTGTCAAAGGTCAGGTATGCCTGAAGGTGGCTAGGTAAGCAGTATACCTGTCTTTCAACTTTTCCCCTGTGGTTACCAACTAGCTAGGACCAGAAACAAAGTGTTTTATAGCTCCTATGCTTACATGCTGTGAGGACTCTGTATATTTCTTCTACTTAAATCTGTAAAATGAGACCACAAGTAAAATGCAAAGGATTTCCATGAGAATTGGGATGCACTCAGCAAAATCAACTGTTGTTATTATTTTCTCCTTAATTATTCTCCTTCCAGTTATCAATCATAATTTATATCTATAGTCATGTTAATGATACTAGTATAGGGTAAAAAAAAAAAAGGTAGAGTTGCTACTTTTAACGAGTAAAAGTAAAAGACACAGAGCTAACTTTAATTTCAGTCAAACTGAATACTGTGGTGTTGCCCATGGTTCAGTTGGGTCTTCCCGCTTTAATTTACCTAATCTAGATAACCCCTCACAGGCTGTACAAAGTCATGTCTCCTTGGTGATATCCCATAATGCAGAATGGATTTGGACCAACTTCAAATGTTTGTATAGCCTTTAAGAATTGCAGCACTGTTACAGGTGGTGGTGCATGCCTTTAATCTCAGCACTCTGGAGGCAGAGGCAAAAGGATCTCTCTGTGAAATTGAGGCCTGCCTGGTCTACAGAGCGAGTCCCAGGACAGGCTCCAAAGCTACACAGAGAAACCCTGTCTGTAAGAAAACAAAAAAAGAATTCCAGCACTGTTTAAAATTCCCAAGCTCGAGTTTCATTTGAGGCTCAATCTTCCGGCTCCCTCTCTCTCTCCCTCTCTTGCTGTAGATCTGAATAAAAGAACTGAACAACAGCAGCCACACCACAGCCGGAGGTTATGCTGTCTTAGAATTCTTTCTCTCAAAGACATTAATTCATGACTTTTTAATTCACCATCGCACAAGTTCTTAGGACACATGCAGAATTTCAGCAGACTCTATGCCAGAATGTAACAAGAACTGGTCTCTACCCAGTGCTTGATAGCCTTTGTTCCCTTCTGAAACTTTGGGAACTGAACCTCTACTATCTGTTTTCTCTAAGAATACTTGTCCTCTATGTTCCTACCATAATGCACCATTAAGCTATGCTTTCAGTATTTGAGGGCTTGTCT